TGTCACTGGGCCACATCCCGGGACGTGGCGAGCAGGAACCTCGGCCGGCGCGAGCAGGGCCTGTGTCACTGGGCCGCGTCCCGGGCCCGGCCGAGCAGCACGGAGCCATGGGCGCCAGCGCGGGGAGGCAGCCCAGGGAATTGCATCTCCTGTGCCCTCCCGCTCGCCGGGCGCGCGCTGGGACACGCGTGCGCAGAGCTGGTGCCAGTGCTGCTTTTGTGTATGGCAGAGTCCTGGCTGGGGGCTTACTTATATATCGTAAAGGACATCACACTCTTCCCACACTATATTCATGCAAGATCTTGTTAATTTTAGCAGAACTGTTTTTCTGACATTAAATAAGACCGGCAGGCTCCTGTGGGGTTGGTTTTTAATGCAGGGCTTGGTTACTGTTTGTTGTAAATCTGGATCAAGTTATACTGACCAGTACAAATAATCACACAAATTCTGAGGTGGGTCTTCAGCTGTTGCAAACTGCTGTTCATGTCGCTGGGGCTTTGCAGGTTTACACCGGTGCTGAATCCAGCGTATGGGTGAGAAGCCTCGCCGGCTGCACGCATCTGTGTTAAAAAAAGAGCTATCCCCGTTCCCCAGGGTCATAAGTGTTTTTTGTTTTGGTTTGGTTTGTACAATTATGTGAGTATCTGTGGTGGGATCACAGTAAAACCTTTCTTGTGTATTTTGTGTGTTTCAGAATCGAGATTTTTGCAATCTCTGGATGAAGACAACATGACAAAACAACCTGGGGTTTGTTTCTTGTTCTGTTCCAGATAACCAATATAAAATATGCAGGCGAACTCAGTTCAGGAGAATTATAGTAGAAATATTTGGTTGGGAAAGATGCTGTGGTGCAGCTTTGTATCTCCTTTGTGCTCTCTTTTTTTTTTTTTTCCATCTCCTTTAAGTATTGGAGTTCAACCTTTTCAGTAGCAGATATCACTGAACGCAAAGTATATTTTCGGCTTTGCACTCAGAAAGAAGTTTTTTACTGTGCAATAGAAAATAATATTTTTGAGGTTCTTATCTGGATTCTATTGCCTGAAAAATCCTTAGTAAAATATCCACTTTTTGTATCCACCCAGCTGCATTTACACACACATATTGCTAACAGGTGGTCCCTATTTCTACTAGGGATTAGTTATTCAGCACTGATTTTTTGGGGGGTGTTTTTGTTTGTTTTTGAATTCTTCTCGGTGTTTCAAACTCACTGATCTCAGAGGGTCATCTTTTACAAGACAGCTTGGCTTCCCAAGATTTAGTCCAGATGCATTTGGGGTGTCACACAGTGGTGATGAAACGTCACATCATCGGAGTCAGTCAGGATTTAGTGGTCAGTCTTTCATCACACCCGCACGGAGCGAGGAGCGAGTACGGCTGCTGCAGGCCAGGTCCTGTGCGGGCCTGGCCGTAGCTCGCAAGAAGGGCTGTCTTGCAAAGAATGGGCATTAAATAGCTGAGTGCACAGAACCTGTGAAGAGACCCTGAATTCGTCACTGCACGGAGGCAGCTGCTCGTGAAGCAGCTCAAAACGCAGCTCTGCAGAGGAGGCAGCACCCGGCCCAGCTGCCATCCCTGCTCCCCCAGCTGGAGCAGGGGTTAATCACTGTGATTGACTAACCCAGCTGATACCTGGGCTCCATGCAACTTAAGGCGGGTGTTTTGGGTTCAGGCCAGCAGTGCTCTCTTGTTTAAGGCCTGGTTATGGTGGCTTTCAGGAGCTGATGTGGACACTATCCTAGTGTTGTCATGTACAGAGCACAGTAATTTGCTGCCTGAGTTTTGCATGCCATTTTTTCCCCCTAATGAACCTGCCTCTTAACTTATGGGAGAAGGGAGGCAAAGTAGCAGAGGGTAAAGCAAGCGTGTAAATATGGGAGACGATCTGCTGCCCGGGTGCAGATCCCTGCTAACGCCCTGCCCATGTTTCCTGGTGTGCAGAACCTGCGCTGGATGGCCCCCGAGGTCTTCACCCAGTGTACAAGGTACACTATAAAAGCTGATGTTTTCAGCTATGCTTTGTGTCTCTGGGAGCTGTTGACAGGTGAAATTCCGTTTGCTCACCTAAAACCAGGTAAGATACTTGGTGAATTAATTTTTAGACATCAAGCTACAGGAATAGCTGCATTGCAGAATAATAACCAATATTTTATTAATGTTTGTTATTAAGTGCATAGATGATACATTTGGTGAAAAGCATAGAACTAGCCCACTACAGTCGCATTATTATTTGCTAGAGTAAATTTGTTTTGAGGTCAGTAATTACATCTAGTCCAGGGATCGTGACCAAAGCACCCTGACTACACGCCCTTGTCTTCTGCATTGTCCCTGGAAGTGTAAGGTGCTTGCTCAATATAATTCTTCTTGGGTGGCTTCCAGCGGGCCCTGCCCTGGCAGGAGCTGGCAGCAGCAGGTGGGCTGTCCAGGTGCAGAGCCACACGTGCGCTCACTGGGAGTTGGAGCTGTGGATGGGCCCCAGGAGCCCCGGGCGTCGCGAGCGCCCCGGGGTGCAGCCGGGGGTGCTGGAACCTCGTGCCGTTGCGTGGAGCCGCGCGGCTCCGGGCGCTCCGACGCGTCCGCGCGATGCTGCCGCTCCGGGCGCTGCGTCGCCTCCCTGCAGAGGCGGAAGCGCCGGCTCCTTCCAGCGGCTCCGAGGAGAGGACAGTCCTGGCGCAGGACATGGGCCAGGCTCTTCGCGTGGCCTTCAGATAGATTTTATGGTGTTTGGAGAAAGCCTTGTCTGTGGCAGCATTTTGTGTTGAGAATGGTGAGTTTCTCTATTTTGTACAAACCAGCCAAGGAGAATACAGAATGTGGAGTAGCACCGTATAGTGCTTTTCTACTCATGCATCTGTTTCTTAACTGCCCATCACTATGCTATTCCCCCGATCCTGTCAATCACTTTATAAATTAAATACACAAATATTAAGAGAGATCTGATGTATTTTTCTCAGTGCATTGCTGTTATCTTTTCAAAGGCATAGCTTCAGATGCATGTAAAGTTTTCCTTATCCCACGGTCTGTTCTTTTTTTTTTTTTGTCTGTTCAAAGAATTTAAAATGAAGATTCATACCTCTCTCATTTTTTCTGAGATTTTTACCTCCATTAAACTCCTTTGGAAGTTCAGCCTTTTGCATGCAAAGTGCACAGCTATCATTAACATCGTTAGTAATTAGTATGCCAGATCTGTATATGACCTTCTAAATTGTATTAGCAGGTTTTCACGGCTCTTTATTTCTAACTGCTCACGTACTAAATGCAAGAACCAGGCATCTGAATCAATTCTACTCCGGTATCTAGAAATAAAACACATTTAGCTGTCAATCTGAATTTCAGTCCTGATTTTTTTTTTTTTGCATTCTTTTTCTACTGGTTATAGTATCTTTGTTCATGATTGTTTAACTGGAAATCAAGACTGTAGATTTTTGGATGTGCACCAGCCCACATAGCAGTTGAAATTTGGTCCTGTCAGATGTTCAGTTGAGTAATTTTCCCCTTTTTCATGGATATGAAATTGAGACTTGATGCAAAGCCACAAAGCAGGTGATTCTCAGATGTAGCAGTTGCTGTTTTCTGACTAGTTCCTGTGGTCCCTCACACTGCAATGCTTATGAAAGATATGATGTATGTACTCATAAAAAAGATACTGGAATTACTGCACATAAGACTTAGATGTATATTTTGCAAAGAACAGATTTGAGGATGCTGTATGTTTTATAGTGTGTGTAAAACTTCTACATTTATGATATATGTTCAGATGACTATTCAGTTAAAAACAAATCCCATATTTTTCACAAAGTATGTATAACAAAGTGAGGAATGACAAATTTTTCTTTAGAAATTTTTGTATGCCATCTGCAGAACACTGTAATTATGTATTCTGGATCGTATTTATATTTTATAGTTATTTTTGTGCATGCTGGGCCGTCTGGGAAGTCATTCTGGTCAAGCTAAGTGTTGAAATAATATGTGATACTAAAGAAAACTAGATGTCACCTACTGAAATGGATACAGCTGGCTCACGAAAAGTGATTCTGTGTCCCCTGCTGAATCTGGTGCAGAATCCAGCTTTGTTAGTGTGTGCGGTAGTCAGAATTAGGACGTCGTTCATCAAATTGTATGAGCAGTTTTATAGTTATTGAAGTCGCTAGTTACTTTATCAATCACTAGTTACTCCATGGCGCAGGGAGACGAGGCCTTCCCCAGCGCAGGGCTCCGCAGCCCGCGGCTCCTGCAGCAGCTCGTGGCGTTGCTGAGGTGCAGGCCGCGAGGAGCGGCCGTGGCGCGGCCGGGCTCCGATCCCAACCAAGTCCTGCGCGCTCACTCGCACGCTCGCCGGGCGCTGCGCGACGGCCGCTGGGACGGCTGCCTTGCTCGGGCCTGCGGGGCCTCAGGGCATGCGGCGTTTGCACCGTTTCCTCCCACCACCAGGAGAATAGAGTAAAATACAGGAATCCATAATAGATCATAAGTCACTAGTAGAAAGAAGTAGGAGATCATTTTGCGTGAAGAAATTTCAGGATTTTTCCAAAATATAGAAAGAGATGGGAAGGAGGAAAATTGCCCTACTAAAAAGAAAAGCATAGTAAATAGAAAGTTTTGATGGGAAGAGATTTGGGTTTTATACCAAAGACATAATTGAAACGAAAAAGTAACAGCCTATGTTTTAAGCACTAACTGCTAACCAATAAACCATGGAGTAATGTTGATCAAGAAGATAAATTCCTTGCAGGGTAGTTAAAATGTCTGCTAGGAAGATGAATTGCATTTAATGAATGGATAAAACAGTTGAGAGCATTAGAAGAGCTTCCTTTGAAACCTTGACCGCTGTGCTGGGGTAAATGGGTTCTCCTGGCAGGACCAAGGGGTGCAGTATTTTCAGCCCATCTACCTCAAGTTGTTTGTGTGGGGTTTTTTGTATGTTTGTTTGTTTGTTTGTTTTGCTATGTGTTTAGCACTAGCTATGCTGGTACCTTGTTGTTTCTCTCAACAGCAGTTGAGGACTCTTGAGGAAGAACTTCAAATGTCTTTTACAGGCAATATCTTTTTCTATTGATTTAACTGAGCTAGAATGTTATCCCAAAAAACAAAATGCCTGTAGGCCTATTTGTGATAAGTGAATGTTTTAGCTGCCAACCATTTCAGTAACAGACTGGACCAAAGCTACTTTAGACTCAAAGCTTTGATTAATTTGAGAGACTTGCGTAGTATTTTGGAAGCCTAAATTATAAGAAAGATAATATGTTTATATATATATATATATAAAAAAAATTAGGCAACAATACAAATGAGACAGAAGAGCAGAATTTTTGTCTCTGAAAGTTAGTCTTTGCTAGTTCAGCATTTCCGCGCGTCGGGTGTGTGTAAGCACAGGCGAGGTGTGTTTCGCGGGACGGGTTGCGCTGCCCGACACTAACGCAGCGCCGTTGCGCGCTCGCTTGCAGCCGCCGCAGCCGCCGACATGGCCTACCACCACATCCGGCCGCCCATCGGGTACTCCATCCCCAAGCCCATCTCCTCGCTGCTCATGAGGGGCTGGAACGCCTGTCCCGAGGTGAGTGCTCGCTCCGCCGGCCGCCCCGCTCGGCCTCTTCCTTGGAGACCTGCTTAGGGCTCATGTCTAAAATCACAGCTGCAACCTGCTTAAAACTTACATTTCCAATAGAAAAGATACTCACAGTGGCACAGGACATGAACAAACTTACATTTCCAATAGAAAAGATACAGTGGCACAGGACATGAATATATGTCTATATCCTTACTACTTGGATGTGATACTAGTAATGTTCTTTCATATTGTGTTTTCTTGATGGCTGGACTTTGGTTTTTGTTAAGTCTTAATTGCATTTTTTTGTGTTTCTGCTGTATTGGAAGTGTTCTGCCTTGCAAGCTAATCGAATACAGGAAGCTGAATAGGGGAAGAACAAGACAGAAACAAGACAGAACAAGACAGAAAAGGGGTGGTTAAAAGCACATAGGAAGGAAGAAGTGAACAGAAATGAGAGAGAATTAGGTGACCAAACAGACATCAACAAAGAGAGTCGACAAATCTGAGAAAAAGAAACAGAGGAGTTAATAAATTGTAGAAATGTAAATAAGTATTTAGCCATTCAAGGAAACTTCAGTGCTCACGGTGTGAAACTCCAATCATGACTTGTTTCAAGAATGGTTTGGGACAGGAGAAGCAACAAGAAGTCGTGCAAATTCTTGTTTGTGAAAGAAACAGTCATCGGTCTGGGACATGTCTTTGTTCATGGCAGTCATCCTGAGCTCCGAATATCTACGGCTTGTTGCAGTTTTCCTCTGCTTTTCCCAAGCTGCTCCGAAGATGCCCCCTGGATGCAGAGTTTGTGCACGCGCTTTGGCGAGCGGGCAGGGGCTCAGCCAGCCCAAAACCCCCCGTGGGTTTGGAGTGGAGGGCAGAGCCTCTGCGGCGTGGGCTGAAAAGCAGCCCCTGCCTCCAGGAACCGAACGGAGATGGGTGCTCTTGGCACGAACAGGAGACCAAGCATCTTAGCAGGCTGTGTGAATTTAAGATAGAATTCAGTAGCTGCAGATGAAAGAAAGGGTTTCTATTATCTATTAAGCAAACACAGTAATAAATGGAGTCCATAATTTAAGAAATGCAGTTTGTACATTGTAGAGAGCAGCAATGTTTATGAGGATTAGAAATATAAGTTTTTGATGCAGTATATTCCAGGTGTAAGGTGAAGCTGCCACTCTGATCAGTCAGCACTTTCTACTTCCTTTCACTTACAGACTGTTATTTGGTCTATCCAAGCGACAGGATATGTTTGCATGATTCCACCCATCCCCAAAGCCACTGTAATACCCAAAGCGAGGTATTACACTAAATGGCTTGCACTGATTTACCTTTATTTTTTCAGACGCTTTAGTCAAGTAGTAGTTGATGTCTTCCGACATTTCCCATCGCATCCCATCAGCAGCACTAGCAGTTTTCAGAGGAGCTGAGGCAGGCTGTCCGGGGCGTTGGGAAAGCAGGGGGACTGTCACTGTGTGTCCCCTCCTCCCGTTGCTTTGCCCCGGAGGTGACACACTGGCGTATTTGGCAGATGGTGGGTTCAGCGCAGCTTCTGTAGTGGCACTTTCAGCTTCCCTCCTTCTGCAAGGAGGTCAAGGCACCTCATTTTCTGCCTCAGAACTACTGTCTTTTAGCTCTGGTAACAGAGACATCTCTTTGTGCTCTTCCAGTGGCATCTGAGCTTCTTCAAGCACCTTGTT